TTTGAACTTTTTTAGAAAAAATTAGTTAAAAAATAAATACACGTGATATCTTACTATACCCCTCCCCCCACGTGATATTTCGTGATTTTTTGTCAAACACCCTCTCCTTCCCCCTAAAAACCTCACGTGATTAATGGATGCCCCCAAAGACGTGTTTTTGTTCCGGTCCCTAAGAATTCGTCTTAACGCGGTCTTACAGTATTTAATCTGTTATGATTAGAAATAGTAGAAATAATTTCCTGCGACAGGTATATATTAATTTACGACTTGTTCACGATTTACGGTATTTTATCAATGCATTTTATTATTTTATTTTATTCGTTTATTTCAATGCTCCAGATTGCATAATAAAGATGTCATCTGAATGCAGCATCCCAGCATCTCGACTTGTAACCATAAATTATATGGATCGCTTTTGGCTAAACTAAAGTAATCAGCATAAAAAAATCTGTAATCAAATGGAATGGAATCTTGATAACTTTATATTAAATTGAATATAAATTATTTTGTATACACTAACAGAATAAATTATATATTCTATTGAGATAAAAAATATTTAATGTATTTCTTAAATGAAATGAAGAGTAAGAAATAAAGTTGGAGATAGCAATTTTGTTTGAAAAACCTTTTATTTTTAACTTTCCCAAAGAGAAGTTCACGTTTTTGCCAAAAAATATTAAAACATATAAATTTCATTATCCATGATTTTCTTTTTTAGGATTGGATCAGCAGCTGTGTCTCTTTCCCATGTGGGTCCTTGTGGAAATGGTTCTGCAGTTCGCGAAAGTTGTCCAGTATCATGTTCTGGTGCCCCACAAGATGGACCAGTTTGTGGATCAGATGGCAACGTCTACAATTCCACATGCCAGATGAAACATATGACTTGTGGGTGAGATAATTGCGAATAAATTTAAAGACAAGATGTGTAAAGTAATTACATGTTATTTATATTTTTTGTGTGATTTTTAAATAGCCAAGGAGTAGTCAGAGCACATAGAAGATATTGCCAAAGTACAAGACATTGCAGGGAAAGTTGCTGGCGTGTTGCTAGACCAACTTGTGGTTCCGATGGAAGACTTTATGCAAGTGCTTGCAAAATGAGAGCCTCCAATTGTGGGCAAGTAAAAAAAGAATAATGTAATAACTAATACAACCTGAAATAAATAATTGTAAAGTGCATTTACCTGGAACTGTTATTAATTTAATTGCAATGACACTTATAACTGCAGTCAAACCTCTAAGAGACTTTTCAATGTCTTTTTCAAATCATAAAATTTATAATTAATCCATTTCAGTATGCACATCTTTGAAGTACCCATGTCGTTCTGTGTGACCCAAGAAAGGACTCGTGGAGGGTCTATGGCTCCATGTCCAACACAATGTCCAAAACCATCACAAGACTTATCCAAACCATTTGTCTGTGGATCTGATGGCCATTTATATAACAGCGAGTGTGAAATGAGGATGCTGAATTGTGGGTCAGTTGAAATATAAAAATATTCAATTAAGAAATTTTATTCTTTAATCTACTTACAGCATGTACATTATTAGGAATTATAATTGATTGAACGTTTTAAAATATTAATGTTGTATATTCTAAATTAAAAATGTATTTTCTAATTATTTTTTATCCTTTTTAGAGCCCAATCCAGTTCCAGGAAGCGTGTGATTTCTGTGGGAGCTGATCGATGTCGTACCAGGTTAAATCGTTGTAAGAATTTGTCGCCTTGTAATGAAAAAGATTTAACAAATGCTGATCAAGTTTGTGGTACAGATGCTACTACTTATAAAAGCATGTGCCACTTGCAACTGGCTACTTGTTTGTAAGTAATAATAATCTTTATATACTTATAATTATATTCTCACTTCAATAAAAGTTCTGTATATTATACAGAATTATCCCTAGATCATTTTCTATAAAAAATACTAACTGTAAAGCCATTTGGACTCACGTTTCATACTTATTTTAGTCTACATAAATTTTATTTCTCTATAATAATGATTATTTATAATTTTAAGTATTAAAGTTTTAAATACTCTTAATACTAGTGTAGCTAACTTAATAATCTTTTTAACTTATTATGATTCTATAAATTTAATCTCTTATTATATCATTTTACCATTATCTTTAGAAAGTTTTTTAGTTAATAATAATATGTTTATTATGAATTTAATTAGACGGAACATTCAGTTTGCACATGTTGGAAATTGTACAGCAGTTAAACAAGAACCTTGTCCAGAAAAATGCTCACAAATTGGAGATTCACCTGTTTGTGGATCAGATGGAAATGTTTACAGGTAATAATGTTTTTATATCTAAACAATAATTGTAAATATATATGCATTAGAGATGGGCTTATCATATCCGAAGCCAGATCGGTTAACTCCACAACTCCGACAACTTTGGAACATAATACTTTACACAAATGTGTTCTTTAGTAAGTTGTTAATCTAAGGATTTATTAAGACTTTGGAAATAGTTTACAAATAGTTCAAACATTTTTGTTCATTTTATTATAATAATTACTATTTTATGCATTTCAATATGCATACAAATCTCAAATTGACAAAAAATTTGGGAATTGAAATCAATTTTGTAATTATCTTTGAAGAGAAAACATAGAATTCTTTGAATATGTTTATTTTTATATGAAAATAATGCAGTGAACCTTATATATGAAATAAGAACAAATCTTTGTGTATAATGTTTTTCACAAAATAATAATACCTCACATTCTTTTATTATTTCCTTTTCAAGAATTAATTATACATCAAGTAGTTTGATTAGCATACTAGTAGTTTTACACAAATATAAAATCATAATTGTGTAAAGTTATAATATAATACTAAAATATTTTTTAGCTGGTTGTATACCATTGAAAGAGCTAATTTACGGACAAGCATTATCGTATACAGAATATAGAATACAAAATAGCATTATTTTGAGACATTATATACCTGGAAAGTCCTAAAACTGGCTGTGAGATGAGAAAAAGACCACTTTTTTTGACCCAAATCTTTGTATTAGTAAAAAATCTCAAGCAAATATCTGCACATGTTAACAGATTTACTACCAGTTTAGGGAAGTCGGATATGAAAAATCCTGTGAGACAACTCCACTCGGATTCATTCCGAGGGAGGAGTTGTATTGGAGTGATAACTCCGGAGTGAGTTACCCATCTCTAATATGCAAATATATTAAGTTGACTCAATTTTTTTTATACATTGAAGCTGTGGGTCATGTCATAGAAACTTTCCCAATGAAACCATAATTTGACAGTGAATTTTGAATCAATAAAATATTTAATAAGTTTTTCTCCTTTAATTTAAATATCAAATCACATTATTTAGTTCCACACGGGCCAAAGTACCCAAAATCTTATAACAATCATGTCGCTTCAAAGTTATTGCCATAACTCAATTTACATTTGTTTGACTTTTTTACTTTGTTTTTGTAGATCTTTATGTGAATTACAAAAAGCAACATGTGGAAGACGTGTGGTTCCAGTTGACAACCAATTCTGCAGCAGTACCGAGAAATGCAATGCAGATTGCACCAAATATTCTGGACAATTTGTTTGCGGTTCCGATCTGAAATTATACCGCAGTGATTGCGAAATGCGCAAAAACAATTGCGGGTAAGATTCTCAACAATTACATTTTTTTATTACAACAAAACGTCCGCGGTTTTGCTCAATTGTTGTCAAGTAACCACAACAGAAACTTATTACAATAATGTAAAAATATATTTGGGCATGGTGATAAATAATCAATTGGAAGGAATGGGCAAATTGAAATAAATTAAATAAAAGTCACAGCCTTTCTAGAAGTATTAAGATAAATGTAACATTTAAACTTGGTCTTACAACTTGGAGTCTATATTATTTTTATTCCAGGAAACATATGTTTGTGATTCCTCTAAAACGATGTCTGGCTGCCTTCTCCTTCCGGGGCTGTGCTAGAATGTGTGCTCCTGCCTACGACCCAGTTTGTGCCTCAGACGGCAAAACTTACAGTAATGATTGCTTTTTGGACATTGAACATTGTAGGACGAGAGCTGGCGTCAAAAAAGTACATGATGGACCCTGTGGAGTCCCCAAAGAAGACGAAATTGCAGATAATTTGTTGTAAATTTAATTAGAGTTGAAGTATTTAAAAAAACAAATAGTAATTGCCAAGGAGATTTGAATTTTTAGATTATTGCAGATATAGAAATATTTTCTGATAAATATAGAAAGATATATTTTAGATAAATTCATTAATAATTAAGCAATATTTAAAGTCTTTGCGAAAGAATGGAAAAGATAATGCTAATATTTATCATCACATTCTAAAGCTTTTAAATCAACTTTAGTCTATTTATGGCAAAACTTTAGATTGTCTAAGGCACTATCATGATTAAATACTCAGAATATAACTTCAAAACTGAATAATAACAATAGTTTTGAATATTATGCCATTACATTTTGAATTGTGCTTTAAAATATTCTATTAACAGAACTTAGTTGATAGTAATAAACATTACTTTATTTATGTGATGAACTAAAAAATATTTAAAAAACATTAGTATTAAGAAAGTAATAAGTATTATAAGTTTAATCTAAGCTCGATAAGAATATATTCTTATATGAATGAATTATATGATAGTGATATATTTTTTCAAACATTCTCTGTTAATAAACTATTAGAATTGTTGTGTGATGGTGACAAACATAGTTTTGACATTACTATAATATGAAACATTATTTAAATTATTTTTTTAAACTAATAAGGTCATTAAGTATAAATTGCATGCTTGTTTGTACATGTGAGAAATAATATTGAGTTAAATAACTTAATTAAAAATAAACAGTTAAGTTATAGTTATAATAAGGTTACTAATTTTAAATAGTAAGTATTCTAATTTATTTTATCATTATTGCAAAACCTATTTGTCGAAATAATATGAAATATAAACTATTATTTAATCTATGTGCAATGACCCTTCATATTTATTGGTGTTATTTTCCAAGTTTATTATTTTTCAAGGCAGTTATAAGTAAAACAAAAAGCAATGGTAAATCTTTTAAAACAGCTTCTGGTATATCATTATTATTTGATTTCTTCTTCGTATCGTAATCTATTCCAAGCCATTTTATAAGAGAACTGTGACTGGGTGGAGTATCATTCATTTTTGCTTCTACAAAATACAACCAACAATTTGAGAATATATTTACATTAATTATTACTCTTTTCTTTGCTTTACCTGCTGTTAGAGTCATTGTGGTATACTCGTACCCCATCCAATTGAAATATTCACGAATTAATTCATTTATCAAAAGAACTTCATCAGACATAGAAGGAGTATTTTGGGTATTTGGTTCTGCGCTTAACATCATTATAATTTTTGATCGAATTTCTGCACGCAATTTTGGCATATGGCCTTCGTTTTCTAATGATTGCTTAATTGCTGAAATTTGAAAAATATAATTTAAAACTAAAGTAATGTATTAGTTTATGATAATTGCAATTTATTTACCTTCTAAAAGTTGTTCTTCAGTGGCCATTTTTCAGTGGATATATTAATACACTAATTCGCAAATTTATTAGTTATGAAAAATGAAGTGTTTTGTTTTTATTATAATTATATATGTATAAGGTGTATAATTATACATTTAAATATTTTTAATATAAATAAATTCATTAATAATAAATAACATAATATTTAAATACATTATTTATAAATACATAAATTTTGCTTATTAAGTAAAATTATTACAATTCCACGTTTTAAATATTCAACTACTTTCTGTCAAAATTTGAATTTACCGGTTCCTAATTTAATATTAATTCAATATTATATCTACTAATAATGGGCACTAATTTTAATATAAAAATCCGTTAAGATCCGTTAAAATATTGGGGAAATTTTTGGAAAGGAAAGTCACACTAAGGGTTTTAAATTGATTATCAAAATGTTAAGTTGGTCATATTGTTACAGAATTGCATGACATTGAATATGTCAAAATAAATGTCATGTAAACGTTTACTATTATTTAATTATTCAAATCATTCAAGAAAGGAAAATTATCATTAACAAATAATATCTTCAAGTTTAGTGATCTACGAAAATGAAATTATATATAAATGTGTAATTAAAATAATAATTTATTTAAAAAAAATAGTGTTATTATAAATAATGAAAGTGTATATATATTACATATATATTTTTGTCAATTAACAGTTTGCAAACGTATTTTACAGCTGTAGGTATATATAAAGATAAAATTTGGTCTATTCTATATTTCTTATTTAAAATAAGTCATTAAAACTGTTTCAATACGACCCTGATAATGCATTCTTTGTCTAAGCACATGTTCGGGATAACCTATAAAATTTGTTGTCATTAGTTCTGTAACTCTATTTTAATTTTTATTTAAAATTTTATCAAAGGCAATATGAAGAAAAATCCGTGGAAGGAGATCAAAATTGAGGGATCTGTCTTGACAGATTCAGGCAATTTAGAAGGACTTATTGGTATACAAGAATTAACTGATTATGAGCCTGATGTTGTTTCTAAAGGACACAAACGCAGTAATGTTAGTATTTATTTTATATCTATCTGTACAATATGTGAGATCTTATATCTGATTTTTGTATAGGGTCAAATTCTGGGTGCTCAGTCTAAAAACAGTAAAGCAAATGGTGAGCCTAGCAAGAAAAGAGTTAAAACTGAAAAGAAAGCTACGAATGTAGGAAATGGTGAGTCTAAAGTCAAAAAACTCAAGAACGAGAAGAATGGTGAGCATGTACTCAAAGTTTCAAAGACATCTAGCACTAAATCAAATGGTGAGCTTAAAACGAAAAAGAAACATACCACTGACACAAATGAGGAACCTAAAATTAAAAAGCCCAAAATGCAAAAAAGAGCTATGACTGAAGCAAATGATAAACTCAAAATTATTAAATCTAAACTCGAAAAGAAAATCAAGTCTGAGCCAATTAACGAGCCTAAAATTAAAATCCTCAGAAATGAAAATAAACCTAAGAAAGTTTCTGTTGTAAATGGCTTTCTAGTAGAAGAATTACAAGAAAAAGTTACTCCAGACACTACTATTTGTGATAGTAATGTATCAGACATAGAAGATTCTGTTACTAAAGATGAATTAATAGGTTGGAATGGCTTAGAATTGTCTGATGAAATTTTACAAGCACTTTGTGATTTAAAGTTTGTAGCACCTACTCCTATACAAGCACTTACATTGCCACCAGCTATTTTAGGTAAGAATAGATAAATAATATTAGCGCAAGTAATGTATTTTTGGATACTCTTTGTCAAGAGCCACAAATTGGTATTTATTACAATAGTTTGCTTACTTTTCAGGTCGTAGGGATATTTTAGGTGCAGCAGAAACTGGAAGTGGCAAAACTTTAGCCTTTGGAATACCTATAATACATGGAATTCTGAAATTGAAACAGAAACTTAATGCTGTTCTTCACAAAAATACATCAAGACCATTGTATGCTCTTATTTTGACTCCTACCCGTGAATTGGCTGTACAAGTTAAAAATCATTTAGTTGCTCTTGCTAAACATACAGGTAATTAATAATTTAATCAAATGTCATTGACAGAATATAATTTTATTTATTTTCTGTTATAGATATTAGAATTGCTGTAATTTTGGGTGGCATGGCAGCAGTTAAGCAAGAGCGTATTCTTAAATATTGTCCTGAAATTGTAGTTGCAACTCCAGGGCGATTGTGGGAGTTAATACAAGAACACAATGAGCATTTATCCAAAGTTGATAGTATAAGGTACAAATATAATATGAAGCTAATACATTCCTTATATACAAAATATCAATATTTCTTTCTTTAGATTTTTAGCTATAGATGAAACAGATAGAATGGTTGAACGCGGTCACTTCAATGAATTGCAGTTACTTTTGGAACGTATTAATGCAGATGAAAGTCTTGCTAGAAAAAGACAAAACTTTGTCTTTTCAGCTACTCTGACTCTTGTACATGATTTACCAAAACATCTAATATGTAATTGATGATTGATAATATTTATAACAATAATAACATAAAATACAAAACTTATTTACATTAATTTTAGTGAAAAAGAAGAAAGGAGCTAAAATATTAAATCAAACTCCAGGACAAAAACTACAACATTTGATACAATTGTTAGGAATAAATAATCCAAAAATTGTTGATGTTACTCATGAAACAGGTACTTTAAAATTATCATAAATGTACATGTTTTACATGTGATTAATTGCAATTGTTATTTCAGGAATGGCCAAGTCTTTAACTGAATGCAGAATTAGTTGTGCAATGGAACATAAAGATTACTACTTATATTATTTATTGAAAAGACACCCAGGCAGGACTTTGGTATTTTGCAACAGTATAAGTTGTGTTCGACGTTTAACCCAATTATTTACAATTTTACAATGTAATCCATTGCCTTTGCATGCCAGCATGCAACAGAGACAGAGATTGAAAAATCTAGAAAGGTAAATACAATTGACACTATTGTTTTTTTATTTTAATACTAATATTAATCTTTTTTTTTCTAGGTTTAGAGATAATGCTGATGCTGTATTAGTATCCACTGATGTTGCTGCACGTGGTTTAGACATTCCTGATGTACAACATGTAATCCATTACCAGGTGCCCAGAAGTTCTGAAAATTATGTTCATCGTTCAGGCCGAACTGCACGTGCTTCAAAACAAGGGATAACTATTCTATTAATGGAACCAGCAGAAAGTAAAAATTATGCTAAATTATGTAGAACTCTTGGCAAAGGTAGTTATGATATAATTATCATTGCTGTGGTGTTTGTACTACAACACATTATTGAATTTCAGTTGAGGATTTGCCATTGTTTCCTATTGAGGATGCAATTTTGTCAGCTATGAAAAAACGTGTTAATTTAGCCCGCGAGATAGATTCTTTAGAATTGCAAGTGAGAAGAACTAATGCTCATTCTAGTTGGTTTGAAAAAAATGCTGAAGAGATGGATATATTATTAGATAAACAAGATAGGTTTGTTATAATGTGTTTACTGTTGTACAATTAGACTATGAATTCATTTTTGTTCTGCATTTTTAGTGATGATGATGATGAAAATAGGAAAATTACATCTAATAATAAAAGGTCATTAAATGTGAAGAAAAAACAATTAAGTTCTTTATTATCACAACCATTGTTACCAAGGGGATTTTCTTCAAGGTAATTGATAAGTTTATTTTCAAATACTGAGAAGTCTTTTGTTAATTAACATATGGATTTTATTTTAGATTCCCTACATGTAATGGAGTAGCTCGTTTCCCACATATTGAAGGTGAACAAAGTAAAGAAGATGCAGTGGAAATTATGAAAAAGGCTATAGAAAATTATAAGAATATTGGGAAAAAACCTGTTAAGGTGTTGAAATTAATAAAAGATTAAGTACAATGCTGCATGATGTAATCTTATATATAACTGTTGATAATTAATTGTATTTATACTTGTTTTTAATTAAAAAATGTTATTAATCATGTCTTATGGTTTGTTTGTTTTTTTGAATTGTGCGCTTTCAGCAAACCTTACGTTCTATTTTATTCCATATGGCAACACTTCATTGTGCAACTGCATGTTTTGAATGATGGCGCCACCACTTCCTGATGTCTGATTGAAGTCGCAATACCATTCGTTGATAAAAAATGTTTTAACATAGTAATAAAAGCTTAACAGTATAAAATACCTGTTTAATTTTGTTTTGTTATTATTTAGTGTCGTTTGCGAATAATTTATTAGACATTACTTCCTTAGTTTTGTGTTTAATATTTGACATTTGTGCAACGGATAGTGTCGGTTATTATGACTGGTGTACCGGCAAGTTATGGTACTAGACTTACAAAAGAATTAGAACGATTAAAAAAGAGTCCACGTCCAGGTATAGCTTGTTATCCCAAAAAGGATAATGATATTACGAATTTAGAAGCCAAAATTATGGGTCCAAAGGATACTCCATATGAGGATGGTGTTTTTCATATTGATATTAAGATTCCTGAAAGATATCCTTTTGAGCCACCAAGACTACGTTTTGTTACTCCTGTTTATCATCCAAATATTGATGAAGGTAAGTCCTATTTAATTTATATTTACGGAACAATCTAGTTTATCATTTTGGTAATCACTAACACATGACTTACACAATCATTCTTATATATGATATTTCACTATTTAATTTTGTAATAATTGATATCAATTGGCTGACAAGGTCGGTGAAAAAAAAGTTCAGTGATTTTAAGTGTTTTTAAGTGCTCAAGTGTTTATAGACTATATCTTTTAAACAAATGCAAGTATTTGACTATTAACAATTTCTTAAGATATAGAATATTCAACTTTTACTCAAGCTAATTGTGTGCGTTAGGTGGTCGGATTTGCTTAGATCTTCTTAAGGCCCCACCGGATGGTGGCTGGAAACCAACTATACCTCTGGAGATACTACTTGTCTCTTTACAAGGGCTTTTAGAGCACCCAAATCCAAAGGATCCTCTAGTAGGCGAAATTGCTAAAATTTATATAACTGATGAAGAAATGTTTAAGCGAAATGCTAGAGACCATACAAAAAAGCATGCCATGCAAGTAAGTGTATATTTTTTAATATGGTCATTAGATTATATTGATGGGTTATATAATTGATGTTTCATCTTCATTAGAGCTTTGAAGATTGCGCTGACATGAGAAGCGTACCTCTTAAAAGAAAAGGTACAGACCTGAGTGAAGGTGGACCATCAAATAAAAGATAATTATTTCCATCATCAATATGTTATTGTTTATTATTTGAGTTGAATTTTATAAGTATATATTTAATATCATAATGCATTTAAACTACAATTAAGCTGGCATCATTTTAATAACTATTTTTATACTAATATATAAAAAAATATAAATAAAACATAATTTAAATAATCTTAATTGGAATTAATGAATTAATTCTAAAAACATTCATTTTCATCCTGTATCTGTACTACAGTCCGATGATTCATTGGAGTGAGTAGAAGAATGATCTGTTGAACTGCTGGTACTTGTACTGTTTGAGGCTACTAGAGATCTTCTTTTATAGTTCATATTATCTTTTGAATTTTTGAGAGATAATTTATGTAAATTTTCATCATCTTTCTTGTGCTCTGGTTTAGCTTTGCTCTCACTTTTACTACACATTTCCTTTTTATCGGTAGTTGCTAAATTATTTTCAGATTTACTGCATTCTTTTGTACCTATTCTATGTTTAACTTCTGGTGTAGATGGTTGGGCCTCACAAGCAATTTCATCTTCTTCTAATATTCCATCTGTTAAACGTTTCTGAGCTTCTTTGAAAGCTTCTGGATACTGATTGCTAAAAGAAATAAATGTAACCTTTATTTCTTCGTACAATATTAAAGTAATTTATTTATGAACTACCTTAATTTAGTTTTAATAACACGGATTTTTTTAAATATGTAATCTAAATCCTTTTTCATATCAACTAATTGTTGCGTGTACTTTTTAAATTCAGCCCCAGCACTTCGTAACCTTCCGGCACTTAATGAATTGCAATTGATAAGCATTTCATTAGTTTTCTCAAACCGTTGAAGCCTAAAATATACAGTAATGTACATAATAATTATTTGTATTTACAATTGTTATTTAGCAGCTGTCACACTGACATTTGCTTCTGAGCTCTGATCATTGATTCAACATCACCCTGGTTTACAAGACCAGCCAAGCCTTGTATGAAAACTTCTGGGGCAGTGTAGTTTTGGAAGCATTCTATACTGTATTCACTTTCTGGAGTTATTTCTCCTTGCTCCATTATAAGGTTTGAATTAAACATAAATATGTTTGACAGCAGAATGAATGCAAGTTGTGTATTGCCATGTGCTAGTATATTTCTTGGAACTTTGGTATTGATAGTAGTTTCGAAATGTTTCCTAACTGAATTTTTATTCAAAATAAAATAATATACAATTCATATTGTATAAATTCAAAAGAAATCTAAGATTATATTATAATTATTATATGATATCATATATAATTTAGTCGAAATTTTGCTATTTAAATTTTCTGGTTGGAACTCACATTTTTTCCTCTTTTTATTATTATTTTTAACATAATAATAAAACACAAAAATAAATTTTGTCTCTATTGCATTCACATATTTTGAATTATGGAATTTATTTTATAGAGCATTAAGCAAACTCGAAGAATTACAAATAGCGAATTTTGAAATCAAATTACTTAATGAGTGTAATTCTACTACATATTGAAAAATCTATTAAAATTGGTAGTAAATCTACTACAATGAGTGTAGTAAATCTACTACAATGAGTGTAGTAAATCTACTACAATGAGTGTAGTAAATATACTACAATGAGTGTAGTAAATCTACTACAATTGGTAGTAAATTTACTACAATGAGTGTGGTAGTAAATATTCTACTACAATGTGTATAGTAATTTAATATCAATGAGTATAGTAAATCTACTACAATGAGTGTGGCAGTAAATATTCTACTACAATGTGTATAGTAATTTAATATCAATGAGTATAGTAATTCTACTACAATGAGTGTAGTTTTGAATTTACTATTATAATAACAACAATGAGTATAGTAAATCTACTACAATGAGTGTAGTAAATCTACTACAATGAGTGTACTAAATCTACTGCAATTGATAGTAAATTTACTACAATGAGTGTGGTAGTAAATATTCTATTACAATGTGTATAGTAATTTAATATCAATTGGTATAGTAAATCTATATAGTAATTTAATATCAATGAGTATAGTAATTCTACTACAATGAGTGTAGTTTTGAATTTACTATTATAATAACAACAATGAGTATAGTAAATCTACTACAATGAGTGTACTAAATCTACTACAATTGATAGTAAATTTACTACAATGAGTGTGGTAGTAAATATTCTATTACAATGTGTATAGTAATTTAATATCAATGGGTATAGTAAATCTACTACAATGAGTGTAGTAAATCTACTACAAATGGTAGTAAAGTTACTACAATGAGTGTGGTAGTAAATATTCTACTACAATGTGTATAGTAATTTTATATCAATGAGTATAGTAAATCCTACAATGAGTGTAGTAAATCTACTACAAATGGTAGTAAAGTTACTACAATGAGTGTGGTAGTAAATATTCTACTACAATGTGTATAGTAATTTTATATCAATGAGTATAGTAAATTTACTACAATGAGTGTAGTAAATCTACTACAATGAGTGTAGTAAATCTACTACAATTGATAGTAAATTTACTACAATGAGTGTGGTAGTAAATATTCTACTACAATGTGTATAGTAATTTAATATCAATGAGTATAGCAAATCTACTACAATGAGTGTAGTAAATCTACTACAATGAGTGTAATAAATCTACTACAATGAGTGTAGTAAATCTACTACAATGAGTGTAGTAAATCTACTACAATGAGTGTAGTAAATCTACTACAATGAGTGTAGAAAATCTACTACAATGAATGTAGAAAATCTACTACAATGAGTGTAGTAAATTTACTACAATGAGTGTAGTAACTCTACAACAATTGGTAAAATCCAATCTACTACAATTGGTAGTAAATCTTTCTTCTGCCACTCTCCTCAGAACTTTTTCATTGGTTCTCTTGTCTGATCACTTTATCTTCTGCTTTCGTCTCCAGCACCAAAGTTCAAATCTGTTTAGTAGCTCTTGTCGATCTTTCTTAGAGTCCATATCTCTGATCCATGACCATTTTCGTGAATATCTCTTTTGCGCTTTTATACCGTAGGTTGGGTATTCTATGTACTTTATAAATTCTGCCTCTGCAAATCCAGTTCGTTAATACGCATTTATCTAAATCATTCCGATCTTCTTTATACATTTGCGTGTTTGCTTTACCAAGATGTACCAACATGTACGTACGTATGGCTAAATAGTGAAAATCACATTATTTTTCAATTATTTATCGCTTAGCCTGAACTGAAGTTCCGAGCCGGGCGCAGGCGGCTGAGTTTAGGGCCGGCACATGTGATACGGGGTATTAGTGGACAAAGTTTGCACGAACATGGCACAGATGTTATAAATTCCGTCATAATATATTTTAAACTGTTCGAAATGGAAGCTTATTGAAGGCGTAGTCCATTAATGTCGGAGGTGTAAGGAAAAAATCCTTTAGGTCACAACATTTTTGAGATGGTAAAAATATTTGCACATGGGCGGTTTAATTAATACCACTTAACTATTGCAATATAATTAGAGTTAAATTCTATCTCCATTTTTATTAATTTTTGAAGTAAAACTTCTTTAGGCGCGACTAGGGTGTAAATCCGTACAAATGCAACGGAAGTGCGTTACGGCAGATAAGATAAGATAAGAGTCGAGCGCCAATGATTCGTCATTCGCTCTCGATGATATCATTACTATTCGGGTCGATTGTGATTAGTCGTCGTGTATGTGAATAGAGATCTGTCGTTGTATGCGTACCGGCCTCAACGTTGTATGCGTACCGATATCAACAAGGAAATCAGCATAGATAAATAAACATTTTAAAGTTACATCGTAGTACAAATCTTGATTTAATGAAAAATGCTTGAATCAGAAGAATATTTTACCCTGTTCCTTGAAAATAATAAAACAAATTAAAAATTTGTGCCGTGTACTAAACATAAGTTCATTTCTACATTATTCGTAGTTTCTATAAATCTTCGAAGTTATTAAAATGGAAAATATTTTTTAAGCAAGTCAGATATTACAACTGTTCAAAGAATGAGATTATATAGCCAGCGAAAAAGTAAAAAATTCCATCAGTCAATGAATGTATGTTAATTTTAATTACACGAAGTTCTTCAAACACAATTATTACATGATGAGTGAAGTTGCGAAAACAATATTTGTTTAGGCGTTTTTTTAACATAATCCACTGTGTGAACGCAAATTATAGAATTTATTAATCAGCAATTGCTTCATTTCTCTAATGAAGGTTCATTTCTAAATGCTAATTACAATGACAAACCGATCATGTCATATTTGATGTATGACTTTAATAACATTATTGTTTTTAAATATTCTACATATTTTTAATGCTATTATAAATATATAATTTATAATTTATCATTATATAAATTTGTATAATGGTTGACACTAATAAATGTGTGCATCACGAGTGTTACCATATTACTAATAAACATTATCCAAAATTGTTATATGATGTATTTATTTTTACTTAAATGCCATCTTGTACAGTAGCAAATAAGTTTTACTTCAATCGCGTGTGAACCTTACGCACTCTTTTTTTTTATTTATTAATTTTATTCATTTCTTGTTTGAGAGTGTATTATCTATGTTATGAAATATGATTTAAAATGTTTATGCATTGCACTCGTACTGGATATAAAGTGCGCACGTGTGAGTTGGCATTTTGAAGCAGCCCGTGGCGGCTGTCACCTGCAAAGACCGATCTCAAACCTCAGACTTGGATCGAGAAATGGGTCGCTCTAACATACCTTACTTGCCATCGCAACATATTGTAAAATACATGGGAAATGAAATGAAAACTTTAATGTAAATAGATTCGAAAGCAGTACTTATCTTTAGTAAAAAACGTATCAATGAGAATTTTTTGGACAGGGACTAAATCAAGATGATACAATTATAGAGTTAAAGTTAGCGGAATTGATGCCAGAGTTATGAAGAAAATATTTTGATGTTAAAATGTGTTTGAAAAAAAAATTTATATAAAATTATAACTAACTAGTGGTGTATGGCATCGTGCCTTAAGGCAAATTGCTGCAAAAGGAATATAAAAATGCAATATGAGGAAAATTATCCTTACATTAACTCTTTCGACTCGGATGCCGCCGCTCTGGCGACAAAATACATATAATAAATTCCGGAATTCCCGAGTGGAAAGTGTTAATTATACTTCACATAGATAGATTTTACCGTTGATTTCAATTGTCCCAATTTTTAAAAATGCTATATAAAATATTCCCCATGTTAGATTCTAATTCGAATAATCTCCTACACCGATTTCAATGTGCAAGTCCCAGTATAATTTTGTCTGGCATTATTATTCTATTCTAAACGTATCCGTCGTTTACATGCGTTCACGTAGCATCTAGGTTGTAAGTAGTTTCGTGTTAATGACAACATAATCATTCTATGTGCGAATTACAATATATGTAGAAGCGTTGTAGTCTCTTCATATTACTGAACTGAACTACTCGTAAGCACCCGAATGGAATTAGAATAGTTGGTGAACTAACTCGGTAAAGGAAATATTGAAAACTAGCTGTACCCGTTCACGATTTACCGTGATTTAGTTCAAAATAAAAAGTTGAACAAAGATGTGTAATTGTTACATTTAGTTTAACGTTACTACTATCTGTTCAACAATTTACCTATTCAACAATTTCAACCATTTTACATATCCTCCAATTTACCTGACCACCAGCTATCCAACAAATTACCATTTCACCAACTTACTTGTCTACCAATTCATCTGTCATTCATTTTACCTGTCTACCAATTTACCTATAGACCTATAGTTTATCAATACACGATTTTACCTGTCAACCAATTTACCTGTTTTCCAGTTTACCTGACATCCCGTTCTAAATGTCTACCAATTAATCTGTTCAATAATTTACCTGTTGAACAATTAACCTGTTTATCAATTTGTCTACTAATTTACCTATCAACCTGTTTAGTAATCTACTATTTTACCGGCCTACAAATTAACCTGTCATCCCGTTCTACATATCTACCAATTAACTTATCAATTTGTTTATTTGTCTACATATTCATCTATCTACCAGTTCTTCTCTCTACCATTT